GGGGCACCTTGGGCCAGGGGGGCACTTCTGGCAGCACCCGAGGGGAGTGCGAGCGGAGGCGAGCGGAAAGTGCGGGAGCGGCAGCGTGCAGGCGCAGGCGGCGCCGGCGGCGCGGTCGCCGGCGGCCGCCGCCCTCTGCGCAGGCTCTCGCGCAGCGGTGGACTGCAGCCACGCGTGGCTGCTGCAGCCCCACGCGCGTCGGCGAGGAGCGCGCCGCAGCACTCCGCCGCACCTCCTGGGCGGTCGCCAGGGCCCCCAGACGAGGTGGCCGCAGAAGATGGCCAACGAACCCACGGATCACCTGCATGCCCGCATGCCCTCCAGGATGGAGCCAACCTCCGGTGCCGCCTGGGCACATGCACAGCCTCCTCCTCCTCATCCTCCACGTCCCTCCCTCACCCCATTCCACCACACCATTCGTATCTTCCTCTTCCTCCTCCCTCCTCCCTCCTCCTCCTCCTCCTCCCTCCTCCTCTCCTCCTCCTCCTCCTCCTCCTCCTCCTCCTCCTCCTCCTCCTCCTCCTCCTCCTCCTCCTCATCATCATCATCATCATCATCCTCATCCTCATCCTCATCCTCATCATCCATCCTCATCCTCATCCTCATCATCATCATCATCATCATCATCAGCATCTCATCAGCATCATCATCATCATCATCAGCATCAGCATCATCATCATCAGCAGCATCATCGTCGTCGTCATAAGCATCATCATCAGCAGCAGCAGCATCATCATCTCATCATCATCATCATCATCATCATCATCATCATCATCATCATCATCATCGCCATCGTCATCATCAGCAGCATCATCGTCATCATCACCATCACCATCACCATCACCATCATCACCATCACCATCACCATCACCATCACCATCATCATCATCGTCATCATCAGCATAATCAGCATCCACATCATCATCATCATCATCATCATCAGCATCATCATCATCATCATCATCATCATCATCATCATCATCATCATCATCATCATCACCACCACCATCATCATCATCATCATCATCATCATCATCATCATCATCATCATCATCATCATCATCGCCATCGTCATCATCAGCAGCATCACCGTCGCCATCACCATCACCATCACCATCACCATCATCACCATCACCATCACCATCACCATCATCATCATCGCAATCATCATCAGCATAATCATCATCCACATCATCATCATCATCATCATCATCATCATCATCATCATCATCCACATCATCATCACCATCACCATCATCACCATCATCACCATCACCATCACCATCATCATCATCATCATCATCATCAGCATCATCATCATCATCGTCATCATCATCAGCATCATCATCATCCACATCACCATCATCATCACCATCAGCACCATCATCCCCGTCACCCCTCCCCATTCAGCTTCTATATCGCACTCACGCGCCACCTCCCCCGTCCACGCCGTGGAACAGGGCCCGGCCACTGCCTCCAGGATGAGCAGGGACACTATCCCTGCCGCACCTTGACCAGGCAAGGGAGGGGGCGGCCGCGCCGATGGGCGGGCGGCACGTACGCGGCTCGGACCTCCCCAGGGGGAAGAGGGGAGGCGGCGGTGAAAACGTGCCCCACCTGTGCGAGGCAAGGGTTGGCCGAAGGGCCGATCCCCTTCCAAGTACGTGTTGGCAAAAGCGCGAACATAGATTGACAAGGAACGGCAAGAAAGGGCAGGGGTTTCGCAGGTTCCATCATCATCAGCATCATCACCATCCTCATCACCATGATCATGATCATCATCATCATCATCATCATCATCATCATCATCAGCATCAGCATCAGCATCAGCATCATCATCAGCAGCAGCATCATAGTCATCATCAGCAGCAGCATCAGCATCATAATCGTAAGCATCACCGTCACCACAACCATCACTATCACCATCTCCATCACCATCACCATCCCAATCATCATAATCAGAATCATCATCATCAGCATCATCATTATGATCATCATCAGCTGCATCATCACATTCACCATACTCATCTTCATCATGATCAGACCACCACTACCATCACAGCCACTACCATCATCAAGCTCATCATCACGATCAGCATCGTCATCATTTCCACCATCCTCATCACCATCATCAGCATCATCAGCATCATCATCGGCATCATCATTCGTATCAGCATCACCACCATCAGCATCACAATCAAAAATTCCACCATCACCATCATCATCACGCTCATCCTCGTCATCATCATAATCATCATCATCATCATCAGCATCATCATCGCCATCATCGTCATCATCCTCATCACTTCAACCATCACCATCACCACCACCATTATCATCTCTGTCACCCCTCCCTTGCAGCTTTCCCATCGCACTCACGCGCCACCTCCCCCGTCCACGCCACGTGGGACGGGGCCCAACCACTGCCTCCAAGACAGACGGGACACCATCCCTGTCACCTTGACCGGGCAGGGAGAGGCGGCGGCCGTGCAGATATGGGCGAGCACCACGTACGTGGTTCGTTCCTCCCCAGGGGGGAATAGGGGAGGCTACGGTGAAAATGTGCCCCTCCACTCTCCCCTCGTCCCTTCATTTGTGCCGGGGAAGGGTGGACCGAAGGGCCGAGCCCCTCTCGAGCACGTTTTGGCCAAGCGGTAACATACTTACGCAGGCTGAAAAATGTTCCTCTTGAGCCCCAAATGTCGGAAGCGACGTGCCGTTCAGGTGAGCGGATACATGTGCCCCCCCCCTCGTGCCTCCTCTCTCCTCCTTCCCCTCTCCGTCCTGGGAAGGCCCCCCCTCCCTCGTGTAATCATAGCTCTGGTCAGCAAATCCACAATTCCGTGGATAACATGATGCTTCACGTGCGGTGCCCCGCGGATCCGATTTCCCCTTGGTCCGGGATGTTAACTACTATTATAAAAATATTCCTGGAAAATAAATGGACCCATTGTTTTTTCACACACGGAAAATAGGATCCACGACACTGTTGCACACCCCAAAAGGGATCCGATTGGATCCATCGGTGTTCTCATATTTAATCCTAGAGGAAATAACTTTCGGCCTGGGGATGTAAAATGGCAAGAAAAGATAGGAAAGGTAGGGGCTTCGCAGGTTTCGCACCGAGCTCTAGCACGAGCAAGCTCAAACTAGACCCAAAAAGATCGGGGGTTCATTCACATCTCTTCCTCTCCTCGCATTCCCCTCTCCTCTCCTCCGCATGGGGCTCGCACGTCCCACCTCGACTCGCCCCCCGCCAGGGCCGAGGCGAGCCCGGGCCCACCCCGGGCCTGCCGGGCCCACTCGCTTGCTGCGGGGATGTCAAAACGCGGAGCAGGCGCCTGCAAAACCATACACGCCAAGCGGAGATGAGTCAAGGGGCCCGCCCCGCTTGGGCCTCTTGCACCAGGCTGCAGGGCGAGCACGGCGCTGCGAGCGCCGCCTGGCGCACCCCAAGTTCTTGCCCTGGCAGGGACTGACGAGTGGACTGCGCTTCAGCGACGCGGCCCCGAGCAGCGAGGCCCCTCCCTCTCTCATAAACCTCTGCTTCTGCTGCGCAGGGGTCCGCTCCCCCCCCACCCGGCCAGGTCCGCGGTCCACAGCGAGCGTATAGCGTCAAGTGGGCTCGGCTCACGGAGGGCTGCCCCCCTTGCGCATGAGCTAATCACAATCAATCCCCATCCCTCTCCACTTCCCCATCTTCCTCCTCCTTCTTCTCCCCCTCCTCCTCCTCCTCCTCCTCCTCCTCCTCCTCCTCCTCCTCCTCCTCCTCCTCCTCCTCTCCTCCTCCTCCTCCTGCTCCTCTTCCTCCTCCTCTCCTCCTCCTCGTCCTCGTCCTCGTCCTCCCCTTCTCCTCCTCCTTTTTCCTCCCCCTCCTCCTCCTCTCCTCCTTCTCCTGCTCTTCCTCCTCGTCCTCGCCCTCCTGCTCCTCCTCCCCCTTACTTAATCACTTTCTCATGCGACATCCTCCTTCAAACCCCCCTCCCGAAAAAAAAACAAAACAAACAAAAAAAATACAACTTTTTTTGTTTTTTTATACAAACAAAAAATCTGCTCTTGCCCAACCTCCACCTCATCCACCTCGCCTCCTCCCTCCTCCTGAAAATCCCCCTCCTTTTCCTCCTCCTCCTCGACGTAGTCCTCCCCCTCCTCCTCCTCCTCCTCCTCCTCCTTTTCCTGCTCCTCCTCCTCCTCCTCCTCCTCCTCCTCCTTATTAGTAGTATTATTATTAATATTATTATTATTAGTAGTAGTATTATTAGTATAGTATTATTTTTACTACGATTCTCATTAGTATTATTATTAGTATTAGTAGTATTAGTATTAGTGTTATTATTCTTATTATTATTATGATTATTATTACTATTACTATTAGTATTATTATTACTATTATTATCATCATTTTTATTATTATTAATATTATTAATATTAGTATTAGTAGTAGTAGTAGTAGTAGTAGTAGTAGTAGTAGTATTGTTATTATTATTAGTATTAGTATTAGCATTAGTATTCATATTAGTGTTATTATGAGTATGAGTATTGTTATTATTAGTATTACTATTAGTATTATTAGTATTGTTATTATTGTTATTATTAATATTATTTTTATGATTGTTATGACCATGATTGTCTTTATTCGTATTATTTCTACTGTTCTTCTTACTTTTATTAGTAGCATTCGTATTATTATTCCTCCAACTACTCCTCTGGTGATGCTGGTGGTGGTGATACTGACAATGATACTGCCAATGGCAATAGTAAAGATAATGATAGTGGCAATGATAGCGATAATGGTAATGGCAAAGAGAATGACAATGATAGTGATAAGGGTAAGGATAATGACAATGATAATGATGAGGTGCTGATAGTGATATAACAACGAGCATGGTAATGATCATGAGAATGGTGATGTTGACGATGTCAATGAGAATGCGAATGATACTGAGCATGATTCTGATATTGATAAAATGGAATGAGAACCACAATGACAATGAGAATGGCAATGCAAATTATAATGAGAATGGGAACGAGAATGACAATGCTCATGATAATGATCATGATAACGATCAAAGTGACGAGAATGGTAAGTGTGATGTTATTGAAAGTAATGATACCGGTGGAAAAGGAGAAGAATAAAAAAAAAATGTTTAAGACTATAGGACTATGGGGCTATAGACCTATAGGACCAAAGGGCTATAGGTCTATAGCGCCATAGGGCTACAGGGCTATAGGCATATAGACCTATAGCGCTATAGGGCTATAGGGCTGTAGGGCTGTAAGGCTATAAAACTACAAGGCTATAGGGCTATAAGGGCTAAAGGGCTACAGGGCTACAGGGCGATTGGGCTATAGGGCTATTGGGTTATAGGGCTATAGGGCTATAGGGCTATAGGGCTATGGGGCTATAGGGCTATAGGGTTATAGGGCTATAGGGCTCTAGGGCTGTAGGGCTATAGGGCTGTAGGGCTATACGGCTACAAGGCTATAGGCCGATAAGGCTATTGGGCTATGGGGCTATACGGTTCTAAGGCTATAAGGCTATAGGGCTGTACGGCTATAGGGTTATAGGGCTATAGGGTTATAGGGCGATACAGCACCCGGGCACCCGGGCACCCCCGGGCACCTCCGGGCACCCCCGGGCACCTCTGGGCACCCCCAGGCACCCGGGCAACCGGGCACCCCAGGGCACCTGGGCACCCGGTCCGGCCGCCGAAATCGGCGACGAATCTCACCTAACCATATGAAACTGTTAGGACCCCTACAGGGGCAAGCTCTGATTGGGGAATAATGATACTGATAGTTATAGTACTAATGATAATAATGATAGTGATAGTGATAATGATATCGTTATTGATATCGATAACGCGAGCAGTAACGGTAATGATAATGATGATGGTAATGATGATGATGAAGATGATGACGGTGATAGTGATGATGATGACGGTAAAGATGATGATGATCATGATGATTATGATGATGTTGATGATGTTGATCGTGTTGATGATGAGGAATTACATTGGCGATGATCATGATGATGATGGTGATGTTGATGATGCTGGCAATGATGGTGTTGATGATGCTGATGATGGTGAAAGCGGTACTGGCCTACGGGTCGGGGAGCGGGGCCCATTCACGCCGTGCTAAATTCACTTGCATAGGCGCTGGGGCCCCTCGACGTCACCAGCCAGACGGGCGATTACTCGCTACCAAACCTGCTGTGTGACGACAGCAGGGCCGATGGCATGATGACGATGATGCTGATGGTGACGATGATGGTAAATGATGATGACGATGACGATGACGATGATGAAAATGATGATGACGATCCTGATGATAATGATGATAATCATGATGATGAAGATGACGATGATGATGGTGATCATGATGATGATCCCCGCGTCTGAAGGGGGCAGGAGCTCCCAGCTCGTACTGCCCCTCGGACCGAGGCGTTTCCCTGTGGCCCTGCGGTGGCAACGCTCGGTCTCGTGCGCCTCGGCGCACACACGCAGATCGCCCGAGTGCCGAGAGCAATCAACCGCCTCAGCCGAGGCAAGCGGGTGACCGCACCAAGCAGTCGAAGCGACTCAGCACGCACGGCAGCTGGCATGGCCACGCTGCACGATCAGGCATGCTGGGACACAGCTGAGCTGTACGCCGCGCCTGAGAAGCAACTAGGACCTTAGGCAAAGGCCACGGCTGACGGACGTTGCTCCTCAGGCCTGCGGAGATCGAACCAGAGCGTGGGCGGACCTACGCTCTCGGGTCGCCCTCCACGTCGAGGGACGGGCGGGCACTGACGCGAAACGCGCCAGAAGCTACATTGAGTCGAGGCGTGCAGGCATGCAGGCACGCCGAGACGGAGGCAAACACGACTGCCCCTCCCTTCAGCAGAACAACCCGTCGACTGGCACCAGGCCCCACAGACTGACTGGTTGCATTGCTGAGGGTAAGGAGCACGACGTTACTATGCTGTTGATGTTGATGATGAGGAGGAGACGAGGATGATTACGTATGGTGATGGTGATGGTGACGAAAACGACGACAATGATGATGGCGATGAGGAGAAGGAGGAAGATGGGGAGGATGAGGACGACGACGACGAGGAAGAACGGGGGCCAGAGGATGAGAAAGAGAAGGGGACGGAGGCGCTCTGATGAGGTATCAAGTTTACATGTTTTGTGCGATTGTGCTCTGAGGTTAGTTTTGGCGGGGGTGGTAAGCTGTAAAACATTTGGCTGCCGTTTTGTCTCAAACCAGACTATGTTATTGTAAAGCCGTTGTTTGCCACATCATGGCGCCTTTTTGGCTTTGTCGTGGGGGCGGTATCCGGCAGAGCGGCTTCGACAACAAAAGGCGGAGGCACCACCACTCCAGCAACTTTGCCACGGGTCATCTCGTCCGATTTATCACCTACGTGGGTCTCCGTTTGCTTCTTGGGTTCTTCAAGGGATGTTGGGTACCATGGCAATCGTAATAGCAGTGGTTTTGTGAAAAGTAGTGGTAGTAGTCGGAGCAAGAACTTGCA